ATCTGCAACTACACCACTAGATCCCATAAAATCCTACACACTGGACCTTTATGTATGATACTTGAGTTAAATGTACTTAGTTACTCTTCACCACTGAATGTCACCCACTGTTGGAAAGTATGCGGTAATATTTTAAACATATCTCTTTTAATTTGTTGTTGTGAGGATCACAGTTTATGTGGAGAGGTCACGTAAATCTGTTTTACATCCCGCACAATTTAGTCCCCTTCAACTCAAAAATATTTTTTTCTTCTTGTTCCTACAGTTGGATGTTTGAGCTGCTTCGTGCAGAATGATTGATGAGTTTGACAGTAGAAGGATGTTTTTTGAAATTTTGTCTGTGCTCACTGAAAATCTGAAAATCAAAAATGAAGCAGACACTTTGTATTTGTTGTAATACATGGAGGGGATCTTTAAAATTGCCCAAACAGTAACTTTCAATAAGCTCATAGAGGTCAGATAGCATCACAGAATGTGAAGTGCTTTAATTCCTAGGCCTAAAAGTAGAACAAATCTTGTGTCAGTCAATTTTTGGCCAGTTAGAAGGGATTTATTCTTTATAACTATGGGCTCATTAAAGAAAAGAAACTGGTTTCTGTTCTACACTGAATTCCTTGAACTTCAGGAAGATGTGGTCATTGTTTGTGTTGTTTCAGGTGTTGATGAAGGACATCACCACTCCTGTTCCCCCAGAGGATATGAAGAAACTTGTGCAAAAATGTCTGGAAAAAGCAGCTCAAATCAACTACAGTCAGCTGATTGAATACGCTCAGATCAAAGGTGAGATTTTTTTTTACAGTAAAAGTTAGATGTTTCAGTCGGCATGTTTACATTCTCCTGTTTTTATACACATTTTCAAACTACACATAAATCCCCAACTTTTTTGAACAGATAAAGGATGCCAAATCCATCTTATTTACATTGCAGCACCTGACACCCACTGGTACAGGTCTTCACTCCACATTGAAGACCAAAACCACAATGTCCCTGGTTTCAGTAATCCATCCGTGACTGCCGCTTTATTTCTAATATCATCTTCTCATGAATATATTCACATAGTTAATTGAAGGAAGCTTGCAGTCATTTTATTTCACTGATATCTTTTATGAATTGATGTTTGCCATGATATTAAAGTATTAATTTTCTTGACAATGTCAATTACATATAAGTAAGGATAAAAGAAAATTAAGTAATGGAAATAATTAATAACAGAATGTGTCTGGCTGTCATGGCTTCATTAAAATCTCTGTTCATCCTCTGAAGAACAGGGATATCAGCAGCATTTGGTGGTGAACAATATGGTTTAATGGAGCAGAAAACTGTCAGCTGGGGTTTATGGGAAATGTAGTCATGTTTAAATGTTTGTACATAAACATTCCGGTGTTTTCTGCTGTGTTTGGACCCTCAGTGGATGCTCAGGCAGCTCCAGAGAAGAGGCTGGAGGACATGATGCGTCTGGGAGAACTCTGCATCGAAGTTTTGCAGCAGAACGACGAGCATCACTCCGAGGTATTTTTTATTTTTATCTTTAGAATTTGTTTAAAGACAGCTCTGCCTGATGCGTAGGTCTGGGGACTGGTCCTGTATGTGGTTTTCAGGTCTTCTGATTTTGTTTTGTTTTAGACCCAAACCCAGAAAGCTAGTTATTTTAGTTTTGATTAATTAATTAATCCAGTCTGTAAAATGTTAAACATAATGACCAATCGGGTTCTGCAGACTGTTTATGCAGTTTATGATGATACAAAACAGAGAAAAGCATCAAATTCTCAGGTGAGAGAATCTGGAAACAGAGAATGATTGAGATGTTCCTTTATTTTATTGATTTACATGTAGATTGGTCCAAACTGTAGTTCATTACATTTCTGTTTATGTTTTTATTAAAAACAAAACAGTTGTTAGATTAGGATAAAGTATTTATTTAATTCATCTCATTGTGAAATTGCAGATTTTAATGATTTAACAATTACTAAACTAATTACTGTATCTAAGATAATTTGGATTAATTTAATTTAATTTTGGCAAAATGTAATCATTAATTTTGTAGGAACACACTATTGGACTGAATGAAAAGTTAAGAAACTTCACTTTGACCAAATCCAGCCTGTGTAACTACTCCCTCCCCACGTGTTCACAATTTGTCAAATCGGACGTACAAATTATTCTTCCATTTTCCTTCCCATTTTAAATTCTCTCTAGCTTTTTATTCTAAGAGTAATCATTTCATCTTTTGGCAAGGCTGGAAAATTGGTGTCTGGGTTTTCTATTTCACATTTAAGTTTAATCTGAATGCTTCCTGTCTTATTGAAGAAAAAGGTACAGACACCATACTAAACATGCAGAGAAGCATAATAGGTACTGTGTGTGATTACAGTTCAGATAAAACCTACAATATTTTCAGTTTACATCAAGTACACATAGGAGTGTTTAGCACAAAGCTACTTTACACAAAGACCAAATAGGATTTCAGCCAACACAACACAAATATACAAAACCACCACAAAAAAGACTTAACAGCAACTGAGAAATGACTGACCACATTTGAGTCACATCGTCTAACTTACATTACACCTCTGTACCTTCATGTTGTTGTTTTTTATTCAACAGTTTTTTTCTGTAATTATAAAACAAAATATGCATTTATAAAAAATTTAACTACTTGTCAAAGGGGGCAACCCTGCCTTGAGTCTGAGACCCCCAGACGAAACTATGAATCCAAACAGAGTAAATATTTGCAGACTAATCAAGGTAAAATAACTCTCAGTGTTGTGTCGAGTAAAAGAAAACAAGTCCTTTCTGTCTTGTTTGCATCAGTTTTATTACAAGAACTGTTTAACTCTGACACTTTTTTTCCTCCCTCTGAGTGACAGTGGCAAAGACACCACAAGTCACTTGATCATTTCATTAACATTCTTGATCACTTTTCACAGCACTGTCCATTTTCTTCCTTTGCCTTCGTTGGCAGCGCTCACGCTAAAGTGCCGGTGCTGCAATAACATCTGCGGCGGAGGCACGATGAAAACAACACCCACGCCCCATATGCATATGCCACAGTGTAAAACTGATCAATCATAGGTGTTGAGAAGTGGCAGTTTGATCGGCCCTCGGTGGCAGCGTGGCGCTCAGGCATCTGTTTCTGAGCTATTAATAACAGGCCGCTGCCATGACAACCGGTGAATCTCTGCTCTGAGCTTCAGATGTGATGTTAACTACAAATTAGAGGCTTTTTGTCAGAGCACCGCTACAAGCTGTCACAGCTTAAATTTAGAGATGAATCATAATTGTTTACTCGGTTACTGTAAACGTTCTCACTCCGTCTTTGTTTTGTTTCATTACGATGATGTCGAAGTGACGAGCCGGTGTTTCAGTCAGTCCACACGGACGCTGCTTTTTTTATTTCAAAGATTCCCTCAGACAATTTTGATACGTTAAGGTGAGCACAGATATACTTTCCTCCTTAGACAGATGGATGTGAGAACAAACTCTGCACAACCGTCATTCTGCACAGTGAAGCGAAAACATCAGTGCAGCAACAATAAGCAAAACAGACATTCTTGAGTTGATTAATGTTCAGATCACTAATAAACAATCTCTTGACAAATAAAGACTGGAAGGGCAACTGAAGGAGAGGAATCTTACACATGAACACACAAGATCACTTGTATCATGAAGGAATTCATCTCACTTAAATAAAAAAAACTCAATTAAAAAGAACTTGTGTTTACATATCCCTTGTGTAAATGTTGGGAAGAATCCTGAACTGAAGTGCAGTAGTTCACAGCCTGGGGACTGGGACCCTGTCAAGAATTAAAAAAACAACAACACAGTAAACGTATTATTTATCTGACTGTCTGTTCTGTTTCTCTCTTTTGTATTCCACCGTGGGAAGGGACGAGAGGTAAGTTTGTTGTGAGAATGTTTCAATCATCCTCCGCTTATGATTGTGTTTTTGTTGCCACATCAGACTCTTTTATTTTTACCTTTGTTGTGTGTAAATTTGTGTTTCATGGCCACTGGATTGTTAAAAATCTTCTCCACACATAGGATTAAAGGATTATTTCCCGTGATTTTAATATTATGAATGAATTGTGAAGTTGTTCCTGGAAGAAATGGGATTTCTCGCCATGAATGAAGTTTGATTTTTAAACACAGAAATATATCAAAAATTCAGCAATTACTGTAATTCCTATTTGTTTGTATGTTAATGTTTTGAGGAAAATCTATTCTTCTTATCTACCGCAACACAAAAAACACAGCTCCAACTGTACAGAGTCATTTGACCCACTGTTTCTGAGAGCGGTTGTATGGGAGATTAAACTACACTTCTGCAACTTCAGGATGTAAGTCAGACACATTGCAACATGAAATCTTGCACGATCTCATGAGCTGCCTCGCAAGGTTAAATCTCACGGCTGCAAAGTTGATCCAGTTAAGACTCAAGTATGTAGCAATGGCAGTTTGTGTGGCTGTGTTAATGAGGTTTGAAGAAGACATCTTTGTTTTAGTACGTAAGGTAATCTCCATATTCACATGGGCACAAAAACAAACATGCAGATGGGATGATAAAGAGATGACAGTTTCAGAAAAAGCTACAAAGTAGACCCTGAGTCAAGATTACTTTTTTCTCTTGAATTGATTCAAAGTTCAGACCTTACCTAGTTGTTTTTATTTTTAGTGTTGAAACTGCAGCAGGATCATTGTGATTTAGCTTAGTTTAGTTATTTTTTCTCAGAGACAGTGCCTATTATTATGCCAGAATTAGAAATAAACAAAGTTAAAACCGGAATCACAATAATAAGACCTGTTAATTACAGCAAAAGCAGAACACAGACATAGGCAAAAATAAAAGCAGTGTGATTTATGATTCAGTAGAGTAACAGCAGACGACATAACAAAAAACGCAAGCAAGGAAAAAACATTAGCAAAAAAAGCCAGAAGGAAAACTACAGAACAGCTTAACAGCAACAAACATAAGCCAAGATAGCATTAAGGTAGGTGAGGCAACAGGGCAGTGTAGCAGCGTACAAAAAAACTGGGAGATATTTGCCAAATGATAAAGGCGTCCAGATTAGTGCTGACATATCTGGTGGCGTGTAAGCCATGTTATTAAATGTCTGACAACAAAGCAACTGAGTGGTGGAGGAGCCATGCTATAAATAATTTAATTGATGAGACATATATTTGGGTACATGATCAGGTTTTCCCAGCTCAGAAGTTTATAGTGTGTTATATTATTATATGGCAGTAGTGAAAGGTTTCTTATCAAGGGTTTTCATGCTGTGTTTATATAGTGATTCTAGTGGCCTCAAAGTTGAACTACCTGCCTATGACCAGCTTGTTATACATAGGGTGCTACATGATCATAGCAATTATGTAAATTCTAAGTTTAATTTTATATTTTAGGGAAGTTTGGCACCACAGGAAGGAACACAAGATCCAATAAAAATCAAAACTACAAATTAAAAACCAGGCTGGTTGTATTTATTTTTTTTGTTACATAGTGACCTGTATTAGTGATGGAAGTACATATCAACATGCAGTCTGCAGTTTGATTTTATGTCTGTGCATGAGAATATAGACTGGAAATAACCTTGCTGCCCTCATATAAATGTATAAAGTTTGATGAATAAGCACACCACTGCAGCAGTCAATAACAAACACAACAGAGACAAAAACCAAGATATACAAGTCAAATAGGATAAACATGAAAGAGAGGCTGTGGAAATAATAATAAAAAATACCATGACCAACCAGGTTTTGTAATGCTGTTCAGTTCACAGTTCAAGGATTTTAGGATTCAGTGGTAACATAAATACCTGCTTTTGTCAGAGCAGAACTTTCAGTTTAATGTAATGCAGTCCTGAACTATTTTTTCAAGGCATTTTTTTCATCACAGTTTGTACAGTTAGCTGCATGTAAGCAGGGGTGGCAGTAACGTATTACAACTACTCACGTTACTGTAATTACGTTTTTCTATACTTGTATTTTTTATTACAATTTCTGTGATTTCTTCCATAGCAAATAATTCTGTTGATTCTCATATCTGACATGCCACTGCTTCCTGGCACCCATACATTTTCAAAACACTCCCTTCATTGCCACACCGTAACAATAACGCAACAAAAGCAAGCTGAATAAATATGTCTGTGGAAGGAAATCAGTCTTATAGCTAATGGACTAAAATATGAAAAAACACCCAGACAAATGTATACTGAAACAAACAATAACACTAATTCTAGCAGAAGTCACACTGTGGACAACTGAGATCTAATAAACCCACCAGATGAAAAAGAAAACCTTTTCATTGGAGTTAAACAATTCCATAACTCTTTAATACAAACAGAAATAGAATTCTTTTGTCTTATTTAAGTAAAATAGATTTGCACCTTAAAGACACAAATAACAAGGTTAAACAACAACTGTGACTTACTCTCAGCTACCACTGTAATGTTGGGTCTTAGAAGGTCAAGAAAAATGTGTAACCCCAGTTTTTTTACTGGTGGGTCATACAT